AGAAATGAAAAGACTGTTCCACTAGTATATTTTATACTCTTAAGATCAGGGTCATAGACTTTCCAATATTGCTTCCAAGTTATAAAAAAATGACTGTAGATGCCTCACAGTGCTATTTCCTTCATAAAATGGAAAGAGTGGTTAGCTTATCATCAGATATATGATCGAATATTGACCATTTTGAGATGACACAGAGAAGAGTTTTTTGGAGGATCACTGAAAGCATTCCTTTACTTATAAGAATGAGAAACACACAGAAAAAAATCTTTTCATGATGATCTATGTCTGTTTATGTCTCCTAGAATTGCTGTAACCAGCATGAGAGAAAACCCTGCACAATGAAGATGGCAGAGAAAATATAGGAAATCTTTTGAGATCTCTGATTGTATCTAGCTGCTGTTCATTGCATTGCTGGAGTCCTACCTTTGACTCTTAGTCATGTGATAACAAATTTTCTTTTATACTTCAATTAGTGTAAGCTTTTTTTTTCTGTTTCTTGCTTAAATGGTAAAGTGTCCCAAAATTTGAAGGATATGTTATCTTTAGACAATATCATTAAAGTTTAAGTTATACAAAACAACATTTTCTCTGAGATTCACAGCCAGTTCCCATGCTACAATATGGAGTATTGCCTTCACATTAAAAATTCAGGGTTCAGTTGAAGATGAGGAATATGGAGCTATAAGAAGATCAAGTGTAAAATAATAGACATCATTGCTGTATGTAAAAATAATACGCTAACATGGGCACACAACTCCTTAAGTGAATACTGTCAATAAAGTGATAAGCTACTCACATTCTGGGAGAAAGACATAGCATTCCTGACTCCAGTCTCTCCACTTCAATACTCTTTTAGATTTATTTGCCTTTGCAAAAGTAATGACCACAACACTATTTCTTATAATAAAAAGAGATTAAATCATTTATTTTTTCAAAGAATTTGTATATTAGTGTTACATCCTTTTCTAAAATTATCAAAATTTAATATATTTTAACATAATCTTTATGCAAATATCTATAATGGAAAAATAGATTATCTTCCTCTAGTGCTTCCTTTATGTCACCATCTTTCAGGACTCCTCAATGCATTTCATTCCTTCTTCAATCACATTATTGCACATTATATCCTTAAGATATGTTCTTCATTATTTTTTTAACTTTTATTAGTTTATATTTCAATACATAGTGGCTATAGTCACATAGGGGAATTGGCACATGTACATGATATCTCTCAATTCTTTTCCTTTTCTCTCTTTTGTTTCTCTAGCATCAGATTCCTTTATTTTATAAGACATTCTAAAGTTAGTTATAAATACAGACTAAAAATCAGCTAATAGTTGAAAGAACATGTAAAACTAACCATTTTCTTTGGTACCAAAACCAATAAATTCAAACAAAAATACAAAAGTTTGGGAGTCTTTGTTACTTCATAACAAGTGGATCATGCTATATACATTTGATTGATTGCAGCTGCAAGCTAATATATGAAGCTATAAAACCACCATTTTATAATTGTATATTTTGTACCATATATACTATAATGCATTAAACTATCCTTTCTTTGATAAAAGTGCAAGGTTTTCACAGTTACTTTGATATTATACACAATTCTCCAATAACAAGTGAATATAGTCAATTTTTCTTTTTGTGGGTACCAGGAATCAGACTCAGGAACTTTCTTACCAAAAAGGTGCTGTGCCATTAAGATATAAGCCTAGCCCAATACAACCCAATTTTAAAAGATTTCCTTCCTTTGATTGTCAAAGCTGATTGTGCTTAATTGGCTACAAAGGTAAAAATGTCTCTGTCCTCTAAGTTCTGCTGAGAGAGAACATCTCTCTTGAAGCTACCTGTCCATACATCCTTTCCAAATAAAGTGTCATATATATTTGAAAATATATATATAGTTATATA